CATACAAACTCGGAGGTCCGCGCGGATTTCTCGGATCCGCGCTGGACCCCCCTCCCTGGCGCGCGGAACGCGCCAGGGGCGGCGCCGGAGGCGCCGCCGAGGGGCCCCAGCGTGGATCCACGAAATCCGCGCGGACCTCCGAGTTTTTATGCTTATGCCACTTTTTGTGCCCCTAGTTTTGCTTCGTTCTGCAGGGTCCCGCCTGTGCTGCGAAGCGAACTCCAAGCGAGGACTGCCCACGAGATCGCCAGAGGGCACCGCTCCGCTCGGGCCCTGCGCTGCGCGAGGGCCGCTCAAAACCTCGGGGCACCGCCACCTGCCGACCGCGCAGGAGCGCTGGATGCACCCGGCCGACTCTGGGCCGCTGGCGGCGCTCGGCCTCTTGGACGCCCGCCGCGTCGGCACGGCACGGACCTGCCGCACGCGCTTCCACCACCAGGCCAGCTCGGGCCCGCCGCTGGCCGAAAGTGGATTCCCTTCGGGGATCGTCCGTGAAAATTGGAGCGATACAGGGAAGATTAGCATGGCCCCTGCGCAAGGACGACACGCGCAAATGGAGAAGTGTATACAACCACCGCTGGCTGAAGATGGCCAGATCTCTTCCGTGGCGACTTCTGCTCCGCGGCGCGAGCTTGCCGGGCTCTCGGGTCACAGCTTCCGGGTTCTCCGGCGGCCGCTCGGGGGGCGACCTGGGCAAGCCCCGGGACGGCCCTCGCCGGCGGGGCGCCGCTGCAGGAGAGCGAGTCTCCCCGAGGGGCGGGAGAGAACCTCCAGGAGCCGACAAGCACAGCCGAGCACCGCCGAGCACCTGCCGCCGCCGCGTTGGATTGTTCTTCTCGACGGATAGAGGCCTCCTGGATGGGGCCCGAGCAGATGGGGTCGGAGCATCGCGCCGCACCGCCGCTGCGTCGGCGGTGCATCGCCGACGTCGGCGACGCATCGGCGACGACGGCGTGGAGAGAATCGGGCTCCGCATGGAGCCGCAGCGTCGATGCATCAGCGATTAGAGGCCTCCTAGATGGGGTCGGAGTAGGTGGGGTCGGAGGATCGCGCCGCATCGCCGATGCATCGGCGATGCATCGGCGATGCACAGGCGATGGATCGTCGACGTCAGCGGTGCATCGGCGACGTCGACGTGAAGCAAATCGGGCTACACATCGAGCCGCATCGGCGATGCATCGGCGATGCGGCGCGTTTCTCCGACCCCATCTACTCCGACCCCATCTAGGAGGCCTAGAGCGATGCGGCGCGACCCTCCAACCCCGTCTGATCTCCGACACCATCTGGGAGGCCTAGAAGGGGAGGGAGGCCTCGGGAGGGTGCTGATGGGGGGGTGACCTCCATAGGGGGTGAAGAGAAACGCCCCAAAGGGGCCCCTGAGGGCCCCTGATGGCTCCAAAAGAGGCCCCTTGACGGCCCTGTTCTTCACCCCCCCCAGTTAATCGGCGGCGAGACCGGGGGGTGGGGGAAGTGAGAAGGGGCGTACCTTCTCACCAGGCTCGGAAGCCCCCGGCCTTCTGAGAAGCTCTCGAAGCCTTCCCCGAAGACACGACACAACTTCTCAGGAGGCGCGAGGGCTTCCGAGAAGCCCCGCCGCCTTCTGAGAGGGCCTTCTCCTGCTCACGTTCCTCCGCCTCCTCCTCCTCCTCCTCCTCCTCCTCCTCCTCTTATCATTATGCGTAAACTGATTGTTATTAGTAATCATCTTATTGTTCACATTATTCGTCTTACTAGTATTATTGTTCGTATCATGATTAAGATTATTGTTCGTATTGTTATTATTTTGTTTATGAATATTTTTATTAGTATTAGTATTTTTAGCGTTATCATTCGTATTGTTAGTAGTATTAGTCTTATTGTTATTGTTACTACTAGTATTTTTTTCGTATGATTTGTCTTATTGAGATTATTATTATAGTCTTATGAATGTTACGATTCTGATTATTATTCCTCCTCCTCCTCCGCCTGCTCCGCCTCCTCCTCCTTCTTCTTCGTCCTCCTCATCCTCCTATCACCACCCGCCCGAGCCACCACTGGGCCAAGGCAGGCGAGCCCAGGATCGAATCGCGAAGTCGAAGCGGCGATCGAGGTGGATCGACTCGGCGGAACTCGGCGGCCAGGTCGGGAGGAGCCGACTGGGCGGAAATCGGCAGAACAATGGGGCCTCATGGAGAAAACGGAATCCAAATCGGAACCCGAAGTCGAATCGAATCGGAACCCGCATGTGTGTATGTATACATATATATATATATACATGTCGAAATCGAATCGAATCGAGCCAGAGGAATCGAAGCGAGCCCTACGCAGGCGTGGCCTTGGGGGGTGCCTCCGCAGGCGCCGAACGCGCGCGCGCGCGCCTGCTGCTGCCGAGGGGGCAGCCCCCGCCGCTGCGCGGGAGGCCGCGCGGAGGAGAAGGCTTGTCTTAGGTCGGGCCAGTCCCCCTACAGGGGCATTGTGGACAAACAAAAAAAACGAACAAGATATTCAAAAGATGCCCCAAAATACTAAATAAAAATAGTCCCCAGACTATTGTTTGACTATTTTTGAAGATTCCCCCTGTGGAGGGACAGGCCCGACTTAAGGCTTGCCGCAGCGGAGGCACAGCCAACCCGCTCAGTAGGAGCTCGACCACGAGAAACCGCCCACAAGAAACCCAACCCTGAGACTGGAAGAAGAAAAAACGCAATAAACATGAACGTTTGGCGCTCCGCGCGGATTTCTTGGATCCGCGCTGGACCCCCCCCTCCCTGGCGCGCAGAACGCGCCAGGGGCGGCGCCGGAGGCGCCGACAGGGGGGGGCGTTGTTCCTTCTTCGAGACACCAGGGCGTCCAGTGATGATTGGTGTGGGAGCCTCACGCTTCCCACAGCAAAGCCATCACAATCCAAGAAACCAAGGGCACCCTGAAGGCAAGCGGGGTGTTTCTTGCCATGGGTTTCCACTGCACCATAAGGACGCACGATGAGGATGCGAGGGCCTTGAAGGCCATGTCGACACTCTGCGGGCGAGGCGCGGCCAGCTTAAGCGGCGACGGATGGACCGAAGAGGAAGGATGCAAGTGGGTAGCATTGAAAAGTTGCTCATCCTTACTGTGCGGGTTGACTGTGGGGGCGAAAACGTCCGAACCCCTCGAGCTCGAAAACCTCGCACACCTTTTAGCCCTCCCATACAATCAAGACGCTGGAATACAGTGGAGGCCAGTCCACAAGAAACCGTCCACAAGAAACCCAACCCTGAGACCCCAGAACGTCCACTGGTTTTTGGTGTGCGAACGTCACGATTCCCAGTGAAAGACCATCGAACACCCAGGAAACCCAGGGCACCATGGAGGCAAGCAGGGTGTTCCTTGGCATGGGTCTCCACTGGAAGGACCGCTTTGGGCTCAGGAGGCGCTGAGGGTTACCGGGCCGTCACTCAGAGTTGTGCGTCGTGGAGCCTGCCTGACGCATGGGCACGACGTGGCGTGGCCACCAAGCCCCTCCGCTCCTTTTACCGTGCGCTCCTCACGGTAGCGCGACGACGGTACGCGTCGGTCAGAAGGAAGTGGGGAAAAACATGCAGTAGTAGGGGAACGAAGCATGACATAAACATAAAAACTCTGAGATCCGCGCGGATGTCTCGGATCCGCGCTGGACCCCCCTCCCTGGCGCGGACCTCCGAGTTTGTATGTTTGTGTCATTTTTCGTTCCCCTAAGTAGGAAGGCGTTGGAAGTAGATGGGGTCTCCGCCCACCCCCTGAAGAGGAGAGAAGAGGGAAAAGCGCCAGACTCTTGAGGTAGACAGGCGTCCAGGAAGTAGATTGGGGTCTACGGATCCAAAAATACCTACTTTGAACGACCCGACGCTTACAGTTGGACATACGACAGGAAAACATCCTCCAAGTACACGGGACCCGCTGCCGGCCATAAACACACAGAACATCCACGGGTACAACGCAGAAGAACGTCCAACAGACCCTCCCCAGGATGCACAAGAACATCCGACAAGCCCGAAGAACACGAGGGTACCGCTGTGAGCTATTTGTATTCGGCGTTTCGACATTGGGTGGAAAGGGGGGAGGGGGGGTCTGGCTCAAGACCTCTGCTCAGTGCAACTGTTTGTAAGAGTGCAGCCTCTGGGGGAGACTGCCCCCGCTCGAAACGGGCTCCAAAAAACAGTCAAGATCAACTCCATGGGAGGGAGGGGGGGCGGGGGGCTTTGGGGGCCCGCGCCGATCGGCAAAACAATGAACAGGAAAACGATAACCTCCCCGAACCGACCTTGATATTATACCTTGGTCCAACGTGTAGTCATCGTCATCATCAGCAGCAGCATCACCAGCAGCAGCATCATCGGCATCATCATCATCATCATCATCATCATCATCATCATCATCATCATCATCATCATCATCATCATCATCATCATACTCATCATCAAAATCATCAGCATCATCATCACACCGTCATCATCACCATCATAATCATCATAATCATCATCATCAGCATCATCCGCAGCAGCATCATCAGCAGCATCATCATCATCAGCATCAGTTTCATCAGCATCATCAGCATCATCAGCATCGTCATCGTCATCAGCAGCACCACCATCAGCATCATAATCAGCAGGATCAGCATCGTCATCATCAGCAGAATCAGTATCAGCACCCATCATCATCACCATCAGCATCTCCACCCTCATCATCAGCAGCATCACCCTCATCATCACCATCATCATCACCACCGGCAGTATCACCATCATCATCACCACCATCATCACAAACCGCAGCGTCATCCTCATCATCACCATCATCATCACAATCAGCATCATCACCATCAGTGGCATCATCATCAGCATCATCATTGCCATCATCATCATCATAATCCAGAATTATCATCATCATCATCATCATCGTCATCATCGTCATCAGCCTCACCATCACCCCTTCTTGGCCGCCCCCGATCCCCCCCCCAGCCCCCGCCCCATCGTCGCCGGAGAGAGGCAGCGGGCCCCGGGAGGCGCCTGCCCTCCGCTGCTTCGTCCAGCACCAATACACCACCGCTGGCGCGCGGGAAAGGGGAGGAGGAGGAGGAGGAGGAGGAGGAGGAGGAGGCGGAGGGCGGAGGAGGAGGAAGAGGAGGACGAGGAGGAGGAGGAAGAGGAGGAGGAGGAGAAGGAAGCGGAGGAGGACATGGAAATGGGCATGGACATGGTGCGTTCGCGAAGCGAGACGCGGAGGAGGAAGAGGAACAGGAAGAGGAAGAGGATGAGGATGAGGACGAGGAGGAGGATCAGGTGGAGGAGGAGGAGGCCAAGGAGGAGGAGGAGGATTTTTGGATTGGCTTCTCGCTGAAGCATACGGCTTGTCGAGAGTGGGTGTCGCTGCAGCTAGCAGAATATCAGTCATACTAACAACTTCCACACGGGCGCCAAGGACGCAAGGACAGTAGTTCACCCCCCCTTATAGTATCCACCCACCCTCAAATGGCACATGTTTTTTAATTAAAAAACCGTGGTCACTATTGTACAAATGCAAGGCACAGAAAACAGGTGGGCGGTCCTGCAAGCGGTGATGCGCATCCCCTGAGGCATTGGCCAACGGGGCGGCAGCACGAGTGTGACGCACGAGCGCGTTGTCTATCTTCGCACCCTAGCATCCAGCAAGACAAGGCGAGGCGCAATTATCCTCGCCCTGTCTGAGCACTGAAAGAACATATTCTTCCCCTGTCATGAAGCCGAGAACTGAGCAGCAACGAAACAGCACGATATCAAAACTCGTTTCTTGACCATTCCTGCACTGCTGGGCAATGCAGACAGAGAGTGGCTGCACGTGTAACTCTGCCCGCGATGTCTCCCCTGAGACGTCGGCGCGCGAGCCTGCGGGCTATCTTCGCGTCCTCGTATCAAACGGCAACGCGACGTGACCGGAAGGCGATGCGCAGTTATCCACATGGTGTTGCCAAAACGGTTGCCCCTGATCACCTGTCCCCTGATCTCCTGATCTCTGACGGAGAGCAGCAGTGCACAGAGGAGGCAACAGAAGGACAGAAGAGAGAGCAACAACGCAGGCGGCAACGGTGAATGTCCGTCAACGCCTGGCTGGCAAGCAACACATGAGAAGAAACTCGGGATCACACGTGTGGCACGCTACGGGTGCGCCATTAAGTCCGGCTGACCTCACGTGGACCCATGGCCACAAGCCCGATTGGGCCGAGCGTGAGAGCCTCTTCTTGTCGTTGCCCCGCTGCAAGAAGGAAGCGACAGTGCAACGGAGCACCTGTTCGAACTGCAAGCGCATGTCAGGGCGGAGGGATAGGGGCTCGCTCTCAAGCGGCCATCGACAGCAATGCAAGCGTGGCAACTGAAAGTAAATATACACATCTACTGCAACTCAAAAACACAGGCTGTTGGATGAGAGGGTGGAGGGTATTACGCGAGGGAAGAGAGGGGATAAGGTTCCTCGCTTCTCAACCGAAGTCCACTTTACAACTACACAAACGCGCGCGCATATACAAGGTTGAAAATGTTCCGTCCAAGCGTGGGATCGCCCCTCCATGGCGCAATCTGTCGAAGGTGCTCCTCTCTTGTCCGCCTGGCCTTCTCTAGACGTCGCCGGCGGGCCTCGATCCGACTCGATTCGATGCGAGCACGTGTCGCCGGTGACAACTGGATGGGGGTCGGTGGCGGAGGCTCTGTCGGTGGCCTCACGAGGAGAGCGACGACGTCTGAAATGGCTTGCCCCTCGCGAGCCCCCCGTGCGCCCACTGGACGCGGCCCCGCCTCTGCGTCAAAAACTAAACCCTCGGACAGCTGCGCACTCGGCGGGGGCTCGGGTGGCAAAGAACAGCGGCGTTCAGGATCGGCCCGATCCTGGCCTCTCCTTGCCTTTGCTGAAACAACATCTGGTGCCCAACCTTCGTCCAAACCTAGGCATGGGCCCCATTCAACGAAGAACGAACTAACTCAGCTCTGAGCTTTTCCTCATCTTCTTGCATGTCAAGGGGATAGGAAAACGTCGACGCACGTCGCATACATATGGTCTATGCAATCCACCGTCGCACCAGCCAAGATCCGACATACACCCTCTGGATAGGTCTTCTTCTTAGCAGTGCGCCATTGATTCCGTGTCCTATCGAAGCCCATGAGGACCTCATGGGCCGCGTGTTCGTGAGGGCACTTCCCACGGCCTGGTGTCTCTAGTAGTCGGTCTAGTAGTGCCGCCATCATACGTAGTGCAAGAAGGCGCGTTGGTGCTCGGGCCTGCTGGCCGCGTTCGCACGGGTCACAGTCAGTGGCAGTTGCTGACGGAGCCGCCATCACAGCCCGTAGAGGTGCACATAGAAATGAGCTGGCTGCAGCTTGGCGCCAGTTGGCGGGAAACAACATGTGCCTACCTGCATGCGGACACCAAAAAGCTCAAGAATGGATCCGAGCAGTTCGTTTTCAACCCGAAGTTGCTCTTGCTGTCTGGGGGTCACGGCCAGCAGTCCCCAGTAATCATCGTGGGACCTCAAGGGCGGGCCCCCCCTGTCCGGGGCCCGTCGCATAGCTGACCAGGTCTCGCATGTTGGCCCCTTCGCCTGATAGAACAACTCTTTTAGCGCGTATATGTTCTTTCCAGATCTCAAGGGTGAAATGCGCCATCACGTTGCCTAACACTGGGCCAATCGCGATACCAACCGGCAAAACAATGACTGCAAAATCTACTGCATAATGCGTCCGCTCTAGACATGCCTGAATGTCTCCTAGCTTTCTACGTCCACAGTGCAGATTCAGCACGAAATATTATGTCCGTCCGGTGGCACTAGGTAGCGCCTGTGCCGACATGCCTGTGTACTGGCTCGTAAAATGCATTCGTGTAGGATCGCGCTCGACCTGTGGTGGGGGCCACGAGAAGAATGCCCTCTTGGACGTCGCGTGCTGGTTCGTCACGAGCTGGTAGTAGTATCGACAGCGCTTCGGCAGCCAGGAAAGGGTCGCACTGAACAAGTACTGCCCTTGCCTCTTCTTGTGTCACTTGTTCAAGACACTCCGTAGCGATCTTGGTGAGCGGGCCAGATGCTTTGCGTGTGAGTACGACCGCGTGCCTTCTTGGCACACATACCTTGCTTGTCGGTGCTGCTGACGCGTGCATTGCGGGCTGCAGGGCGAGGCGGTGGGCTGGTTTGCCGCACGATTCGATGGCTGCAACGAGGCAGCCTGGGGAGTCGATTGCTAGATGGTCGACTAGGTGGGTGCGTGCGTGGAAGATGGATCAACATGTAGTACAGCAGCCCGTCGTCGAGGCATATCACTTGGCCATGCTATTAGGCTGGTGGTGGGTGCGACTGATATGCGCGCGTAGCGTGCGCGTTCTTGAGAAAGCAACTCCACACCGCGGGCAGTGTATCTGAAAAACGGGTGGCGCTGCAAAAAAAGGTAACTAATAATCCACGTTCGTCCGTGTGAATACGGCGCGGCACCCCTGCATCCGCGGCTGAATGTTTCCACGTGGTGGCACTGCGTAGGATGTATTGTTCCCACGCTGCAAGGTCGCCCGTTGGTGCAAGTAGGCTAGCGCATAGTAATGATGCTCTGTGCAACCACGTCATGTCCTCAATGAACTGTCGGAGCGCGGTGTGCTCCTGCATGTGCTGCCGATCTGTCGCATCGTGCCATTCTGCTGCCATGAGTGCATGCGCAAGTGTCGGACCGGCGCGCAGTAGTGACCCGAACAACCGCAAGCGTGCAGCGCGTAGTAACATGGCGGGCGTAGGTATGCGCAGCCTTGCGAGCACGAGAGCACCGGACACCTGCGACTCCGATTCCTGAAAACGTACGCGTGCTGCTGCTCTGTGCACTTTCATGACCTCACCATGTAGAAGCTTGGCTTTAGCTGTAGCGAGCCGTGCCCATGCGCCTGCATTGTACATTCTCCCTGAGAGTACTAGACTGTCGGCTAATGTCATGCGCACCTGTGGGTGCACCGCATTAGTCTTGAAGACTCGTCCTCGCAAGACTTGAAGCGAAGCAACAGTAGACGCTGCGCGGTACCTGATCTGAGGAATGAGCGAAACGTCGGCGTCAATAACCGAACCAAGATGCACGCAGTGATGCGCAATAGGGGCACTGAGCTCACCAAGCACGTCTGACGTACACTGTATGCGTCCACCATGCTCGTGCCATGCGGCGCGCTGGGCGCGCTTCATGCCGCGCCCTTTCCACATGGGCATCGCTGCTGTCTTCGCTGTGCCAAAATTTAGCTCGTGCCCACGCTTCGCAAAGGCATCCGCCACAACTCCCAATGCGAACGACAAAGCTGGATGCACGCGTAATGCAGGTAGAATGAAAATTAATGGGCCGTCACCTGCAAAAGACACATCCACAAGGCTGGTAGCATGGTCGGGCTGCTGTTGTCTGTCTAGTAGGGCTGCGATGTTGCGACTGTTGGTCGTTGGAAATTCCACGGGAAGGCCGTCGCCCTTAAGTCGCTCACGGATCTCGGCCATGCATTCGGCGATTTGCAACTCGAACCGAACGTCTGCGAGGGGCTGGCCTGGAAAAAAAGGACCGCTGGGGCAAGGAAGCCTGGTCGGAACCTTCGCGCGCAAACCGCGGCGCCTGATAAAATCGCTCCACCTGCGCCAATGCATGGGGGGTGGACCTGGCTGCCGCGCAGTCGTAGCCGTGGCGTGCATTCACGTAGCCGACGCTCCAGTTCCGCCAGTGCACTGGGTGGGGGCCCCGAGGCCCGAACCAAAGCTGCGATGGTTCAGTGATCCACGTCGGTATCTCGATGGGCTAGACTAGCGGGCTCGCGGATGGCACTGTAGAGAGTGCGCACAGCGTCCAAAAATAACGAACAAAAGGATGACCGTCGGGCCTTGGCAATTGACTGAGCAACCCTTCCAAACAGGAACGCGCGCGTAGTACCCCGTCCTGGTAGTTCCCCAAGCTGTGTTTCACCAGCATCAACGCAAAGCTGTGGCATGAGGGCTTCTTGTTCTAAGGCATCTGCTCGAAGCTTTGCCTATCTGGAATGATACCAATATTGACCGTGAGCTGGCGCACTTGGTTGGATCGGGCTGACCACGCTTGACCGGCGCTCGATGGAAACCTCCTTTCCACTGCACAGGCTTGATCAACGCTGTAGTGGATCGGAGTATTCGGCAATCGTGGTAGATTCGCCTTTTGTAACGCACCTGGTATTCCACCGCGTCCTGGGACCGAATCACGCGCCCGACGACATGACGCCTGGAGCTGAGCCAGCGTCGCGATAGTAGCTGAGTTGACTGGGCCAACCCCGACTCCACTGCAGGGCCTGCGGTGGAAATAATCATAGGAATGCGGTGCGTCTTGCAGTGGCAGGGTTGCAGCTGGCCCTAAGCTGGCGAAGCGTTTGTTGTCAACGTTTAGCGACCGTGGGGGCGTCTGCGATGGCTCGGCCATCAGCATCATGAGGGGCTGGTAGCGATCTCTCCATGCGTCGACGCTTGGAGCCAGCTCCAATCCTTCTGAGGGCTTTGTATGCCTCAGCGAACTGTCTCCTATCCCACGCGGATTGTACCTCCGTCGCAATGTGCGCTCATTTCCACGCCGCATCCTGACCCGTAGATTGCGGTAAAACGCGCGCAGCAGAACGTAAGAATAAGCCCCCGAACGCCCAGCAGAAACCTTGCCAGGCACGTAGCAAATCTAGTGCGATCAGTTTCTGACTGATGTGTCCCTGGGGCGTGTTATGGAGCTCCCAGGGGTGGGCAGCTCACAAAATAATCGTGCCCTTTCGACGAGGTCTAGCGAACATGGCGGCGTGGCGTGGTGGCCTACTGGGGTCTGTCGGGGCGTCGTAAATAGCGCGGCGGCTTGCATGGCCGGCGCGCTGGCGTAGGGAACGCTTCGGCAGGCACGTATGACTGCTAGCTGGGATGGCCCGCCCCTGCATGTGCGACGCCAACGCAGCGCGCGACGGCAGAACCAATCCCCGCGAGGCAGTGCCGACGCCTATGCTGTGAAAACACACGTTCGTAGTAGTTGGGACAGCCGTAGGTGCATCTGCTGGAGGGCGCGCCTGCCGACAGTCCCGCTGTCCATCAGGGCGAGAGAGCCTTTGGATATCCAGGTGCGCCGCCCTTGCCGCCCAGTCTCCGATTCAGCGATAGGGGGCGCCTCTGACACAGCTTGGAGAAGGTGTTGGTTGAGGAATTGGGCGCGCTCATCTGGGTGAGTGCTGTAGCTGGGCTGTGGGGCCGCCCTGAGGGCATCAGCAAACAAGGCCCTGGTAGACAGGGTCCGTTAGCTTGAGCGGGTCCATTTGTAATCTGGGCCAGTGCGTAGCTTCGGTGGGCGTTGGTGGCTGAAGTGCCACGATCCTCGACAGGGGTGTGCCGAAATGAAGCTTCGGTGGAGCTCGGCCCCACCGGTCCCACAGATCCGCCGCCGCCGCCGCGGCCGCGCCGTGGATGGGGGCTACATGCGGGGCGTAGCCCACCCCCAGGGGGGAGTGCCGAAGGCCGTTCGGGAGGGGGGGGGTGCTGGGTTGCTGGGTTGCTGGGGGGGGGGGGGGGGGGGGGGCGACCTTCATGACCGCCTTGTTCAACAACAACAAATACAACAAATACAACAACAACAACAACAACAACAACAACAACAACAACAACAACAACAGCAACAACAACGGCAACGGCAACAGCAACAACAACAACAACAGCAACAACAACAGCAACAACAACGACGACAACAACAACAACCACAAAAACCACAACAACAACAATAATAAGTTTAAGACGCTTCGCCCTTATATGCTCGAGTGTCCAGTAACGCGTATTTCCCAAAACCCTCGATACCCGCCCTCTTCGTCTTCGATCGAACCCCTTTTGGGGGGTATACCTTTCTTCCCTGCAGGCCGGGCCCCAGCAAGCGGCGGGGCGGCCGCGGACCGTCGGCCTGGCCAGCGGCAGCGCTGATCGGCGGGGCGGCCGCGGACCGTCGACCCGACCCCAAAAGGGACGGACAGGGGACCGACGACGACGACGACGACGACGACGACGACGGCGACGAAGACGACGGCGACGACGAACGAGAGCGAGAGAGAACGACAGCAGGGCCACGAAGGGCACGAAGCAGGCCACGAAGGGCGACAGCGGGGACACAAGGGAATGCGTATGGGGCCACGAAGAGCGCGAACGAGCGGGGGCCACGAAGTGCAGATAATGCGGGGCCACAGAAGGCAACGATGGGGCCACTGAGGGTAGCAACTGGGCCACGTAGGACAGTGAGGGGGACGCAAATGGCGACAGCGGGGCCACGAAGGGCATGCACATGGGGCCACAACGGGCGCGACTCCTGGGTGCCTGGGTGTCGGGAGCGCGGCGCTTTGGCAAATTGCAGGAAATTCCAACGCAAGGCCAGTCTTCAGTAAGTTGCAAGCAAGTCTCCAGCGAGAGCGCGACTCCAGAGCGCCGGGAGAACGATTTCTGCATAAATTGCAAGGAAGTCCCGAGCGAGAGCGCGATTCCTGAATCAAATGCGAGGAAGTCTCGGGCG